GACCTCGCGTAGGGATCTCGTACTAAGCTTTGCGACGTTGCGCTGGCGCAACCAAATAAGAAAATGCCACACTTGGTAGATTGTAGCAGCCCTAGTGTTATAATACACTTAAGCGTGCTCTCTTCTATCCAAGGACCCAAGAGCACTTTTATGTTGATGATCACATCACAATTGTGTCTTGGCCTTGTCAAGATTCAACCTACGGGAGCAAGACTGCATGTTTTGCTAGACAGGAGAGGGTAGGTTAGTGTCTGCCTTCAAGCAACCTCACAACAATTCTAGGGTTTATAGCTCTCAACAAAAAGATCGAAAGACGGATGTTTGCAATGACCTCAAAGTATTACACACAGGTGACAGGCTGGTTGCAATCTCACCACGTTTTTGACACCCTTGCTTCGCTTGCGGCTTGACTCGAGCCGTCCCTCTAAGGGGGGGGGTAACAGTTACATCTCTCCCGAGTCATGCTAGCTGTTAACATGGGGTAAGTCACCGTTCTACAAAAAGATGGGCTGGATTTCTAGATTGTTCTATTGGCTTTGCTACTCTTACCTCCACAAACATGCCTGTAGCATGCCGCACACGGAATTAGCCTTACCTGGGGTCCTTGCATTTGCTGCGGCATTCTTTTCAATGTTGCCACAAAGATTCTGGCATTTTTGAAGTGAAGCCGTGTTCTTCCTGATCTTTGGGAACCAGTAGCAACCCACCAAAGTCGGCATGTTTTGATGAATGCCGGATATTCATAACAGCGCGGCTGGGATACTTGGAATACGCGGGAACACGGCATGGGTCGTTTGCTCCAACGGCTGCATTTATACCGGCATTTTGCAGCGCACTGAGGTTCCCCAGGCTATTTTCTACTACCCCCAACCCAACACTCTGCTTATTTCCTGTAGCATGATTATGCGCATCAAGTTCATTTCTATAAGCCACATAGAGAGCGGCCTACTTGCTAAGTTCCATTGGTTCTGATTCCATTGAGGATATTTTTTGGATGTAGATTCTCGAAGGAGGTGTAGAGATAGGGATGATTTTTATGATGTTTCTTGGTTGATTGACAGGTGCATGTCCATGTGAGTGGTGGAATCCACGGAAGAATACTTCACGCAGTCGCTTCAGGTTTTTATTGAACACAGCTGCAAAGGCTAGTGCCATCCGCGGGAGGACCTGAGTCCTCTGAGATCACGGCTTATGCCTCCTAAGAAGGGGCAGGAAACAGCCCCTGAATATAGTAAAGGCCCCGCGTTAGGTGACACCCTTTTACACTGATGAAGTCCACGGACCTTGTTCAGTTTGAGGAGGATGAACTCGTCCTATAGGCTGCAAGGTAGAGCCGGCCGGGAACATTCTGACGGCCGAGTCTACGCCTGTTGGACACAGGATTCCTCCCCCACATGATGGGGAGACGCGCTTGATAGTTACCAAGTCTTGAACACCGACGGAAAAGGGACTTCTTATGGATATCGTCCGCGATTGCAGGATCAATAAACGCGAGTTGTGGGATTTCGATATGGGCAAATTTGCTGCATCAAAGTGTCCGTAAGGCCCCTTGGCGGGTAATATCGCAGCGAATACTTATCCATTCCAGCCCCAATATGGCGGGCCAGACGTTCACACAGCCGCGCAACCATTCCCCGTTTATGTCGTCAAAACCGCAAAAGTAACACCCGACCGATTTTCGGAGCCGACACAGCGTGGCATCAAGAAAAAGAGCAACTTAACTGCCGGTTGGTTTGCTATTAACCGGTATCGGTGATGAAGCGATCTGTGTTCTAGATGTAGAACATATGCCATTAGCCGTCACAAGGTAAGGAAAAAAGAGACACGTCCAAAGAATAATTCAACCAGGGGATCGCTCCGGCTTGGATAAACTAAATTTTGGTCCCAAGCACCAGACGTGCCGAGGATCCGACCTGAGGAGATATACCGTGAGTTATATAGATGGCAGTGGGAGTTTCGCCGTGGTATCCTCATCTGCTCCTAGACTTACGTCAAACCTGTCTCATCCTCAGGATCCTTTCGGCCCCTCAAACTGCAGGACATAACCCGGTGTTGTGGGATTGTGAACGCAATCCATAAGTTTTTCTCAAGGGCGGGGCTCGAGATAAAATTCTAGTGACTAAGTGGTACTTAGCCAATCGGCCCCACACCGAAAAGTGGTTGATCGAATTCGATCGCCATCACAATCGCGATCAGCGACCTCAGTGGTTCGGTATCCATGAGGATGGCGATCGTTTGTCACAGCTTCCTCAACGTTCCTAGCATCGCAAAGACTATGAAGGTGAAAGAGGCTGGCGAGTGCTGATTGAAGAGCAAAAGGAGCGAGCGACAAGGACAATCCATTTTGCAGTTCTGAGCTATCCTGTTCAAGACGCTTGCATCGTGACTAGGCATTCCCTGGCAAGATTCCCTGCATTAACGGCTTCTCTTATGATCTGCTTCATCGGGCTCCGACTATTGAAATTCCAAGGCCCCCAAAGGAAATTGCTTGGTGGACGAAAAATTCTCGCCGTCCTTCATGTGCAGTCCTCCACGTGAATGGATATACAGACATATTTACAGAAATGCACATTATACACTGTACATTGGGTCGCTAGTCGTTCTCTTGGGTTAACTAGTTACCATCCTATAAGTACCACGTACAGACGGGAGAGTGTGCTTCTACTCTGGGCAATGTCTGGCGATGCCTCGATTCCACATTTAGGCGAGCCCGGACTTAAGACGATCGCATGCTTTGCTCATACCTCGGGTGTTGCTTTCTGCTTCTGAATGCTCACCAGCACGGAGTACGGAGTATTACTCCGACTTCGTTCTGGGCCAGGAAGACCTCCAGGTTCATTGCCTTCGATTTAATCCAATTGCACGGAGAATTGGGAAGCCCTTGAACAGAAACAAATCCGGGAATATATTTTCCAGCCCTGGCCAGGGGTCGGCTTTTAACCTGAGATTTGAGCCTCTTTGAAGTCAGGGGTGGTGATTGACTCCGGTGCGGCTAATTTCCCCTTCATCCAAAAATAAAATGCTGGAGGGGAAAAAAAAAAATAAAATAAAAACATAAAAATAAAGAATAATTAGAAGGGGGCAAAAACCTCATCCCTGGAATGTCAGTGAGAAGGAACGCATATCAAGAGCATAATAGACGATGAGACAAGTGGTGTTCTGGCTGGAAGGACAAAGACTCGTATCTGAATCATGGAGAGTTGCGCGGTTTGTCCTGCAACTTTGGCCTCTCAAGTAGTCTTGCTGATCCTGAGACCTTCAATTTCAATTGTCTGGTTGTCGAATTGGCGGACGCCCATGAACTTGAGCCCCATATCCAAACCCTGGTTTCAGAAAAGTTCCTAAGCGGCTGGCACATTGTGTGCGGGCTGCGCGCGGCAATCTTGGATATACTAAAAAAATTGGATGAAGCAGCAAACCTTCCTGTTGCGCGCAGTGCAGAAACACACCTTTGCGAGGGTTGTCTAACCATAAATGTGTTTGGAGGGGAGCGACAGCTGGGATTCTGATTCTGGCTGGCTACTTGCATAGTCGGGACACGCGAGACGATTAGAGGAGAAACAAGCCTGTCACTACGTGGCATTGTGGAGTGGCGAGAGAGCCCCTGGTCAGGATTTTTTGTTTTTGTCCCCGCAACAGCCCGGCCATAGTACTGTGGGCTAATTTTGCTTTTTGGCCATACAGCCCAGATGATGATAGTATGTATGAACTATGGATGAATTACGAAGAGAGAGAAGTCTGTCCTGCAGACATCTTACCTTTGCGGTTAATCGGAGAGCAGAGTGGCGGCAGCCAAAGTGCGCATTTCCGGACGGCACGCGAGATCTCGAGTGCCAGACGGTTGTGTCGGCGAGGTTGAAACAGCGCCAAGAAGGCCGGTCCCAACTCAACCATAGCGGAAGGGAAAAAGCAATGAGGATTTTTAAGTTCAGAATCAAAAAAAAAAAATAAAAAATAAAAAATAAGAAAAGAAAAGAAAGGAAATGCAGACTAAAAAAGAAAAAGAAAATAAAAATAAAAAACAGCTGTCAACAGTCAAGCGCGTCATTCCAGAAGATGATCATCGCGCCACCAACCACCATCACAACCTCAACTCGCGAACTAACCGCGTCCACTGCAGCTAAAGCCTCAATGGTTTGTCGACGACTCACTAGCAACACGTTGCCGAGAGAAAGGCGTGGTTCTTGAGTTGAGAGAGCTTACCCACTAACTTTACTCGCGAAGTTGTGGGAAACTGGCCTTGGTGCCGGGCGTTTCTCTGGACGAGCGCCGGCCAGCAGGTTCTTCCTGGTGTGGTCGGCTGTCGAGGGATGATACCTGTCGCCGCCGGAGATTGATGCGGTGGCTCACGGCTAAATGTTCAGGAGGCGCAGAAAATACCTATTATTCCTAGAGAGGCCCCTACGCTTTTCTCCCTCTTGAGTCTCTCTGGCAACTGTGTGGGAATGGCTTGCTGGCGCTCAGATCGCGTGCTGAAATTACATTCGCTGACTCTCATTTGGCTAAACTGCTTGGGATCGAAACTTCCAGGAACTCCGCACCTGGAGGGCGATCCATGGGCCCTCATGCTCGCCCCAGTCCAGGCACGATCTGCTCGTATTGGGCGGTGGAGACGGCCTGCGCTAAACTTACTAACTCTCATCAGAAGCGAAATGCACCATCGACGGCTGGCCCAGGGATTACGCACAACCCAGGCAATCTCCAGACGAAAACGCCAAGGGGGGCCTCTCGCCTGCCAATGAGCGCCCGGCTCCGATGGCTTTCGGCTTCTCGTTCTCTGGCCTCGTCTGGGGCAAACATATCCAGGATCGCGGAATGCTTGTGTGCCCGCCTCTCCCAGAAAAATATGTTCCCGCCGCTCTGTCTTCGAAAAGAAGGTTTTCCTCCTTCTCCGCCGCGCCATCTCTCGCTTCCACATACCGACAGGGCGGGTTCTTCTTCTTCTTCCTCTTCTTCTTCTTCTTCTCCTCCTCCTCCTCCTCGTCCGCCTCCTCCACAATGTGCATAATAATATAGAGGTCCGGCCGTTCCCACCCCCGCGTCATTTGTTCTCAAGTCCATGGGATCCCTGGCCATCCTGGCTGGATCTGGACATCTCCTCGAGAAAAACCAACACGTCGCCCGGCTCTTTTAATCGAACTTCTACTTTCTCTGTGCTTTGCTTCCGGAAAGCTAGCAACCATGCCTGGCGGCTTCCACCCTCCCAAGGAGGTCATGCTCAGCTGGCCTCCGAGAAATTATGTGAATCCCGAGCAGAGGGGTGACGGCGTGGTCATCTTGACTGGAGTGTTTGGTGTACTTATGTTAATCGTGGTTGGCCTACGGCTATGGGTGCGCTTCAGGATGCAGCGTGAGCCAGGCGTTGACGACTACATTATTGCTGCAGCTGTGGTTAGTCCTTGCCTCCAACTTGCCTCGTTCCTGGCTTCAGCTCTCCGTTCTGACGATGCTTTCTCTGTAGCTACCGGCAATTGGCTTGGCCGTCTGCATGGGCCTGAGTATGACGCCCTCTTTTCCGTCGACCAATATAGCCCTTTCTAAGCATCCGTTGCTGATTCGGCTTTCATCTTTTTAGTCAATCCTCTACATGAAGGGTACCGACATATCTGGGATACCCCCATTCAGAACTTCGTTGCAATAATAAAGGTGACGCCCTCCACCACAGACATGGGCTGGATCTATGCTGACAAACATTGGACTCTTGTAGCTGAACTGGATTGCCCAAGTCTTGTGTGTTTTACCTTCCTATATCAACCGCAACATCGCCTCGCTGGGGTACAATAGCTGACCTCTCTTCTAGTTTTCTCTTCAGCAACATATTAACTAAGATCTCTGTTCTTGTGTTGTACATGCGCGTGATCAAAGGCACAGCAAACAAAATCTTTCTTAATGTGGTCAGAGGGGCTATTGGCATCCTTGTGGCCTATGCCACTTCCGGTATTGTCTTGCTGTGCCTGCAGTGCAAGCCGATCACGGCATATTGGGACCAGTTCAACCTTTTAAATCCACCCAAGGGCAAGTACACATGTTGGGATGAAGGCATCCTGCCTCTCTATGCAGTCATCTTCAATGTTTTTACTGATCTGATGGTGACGTGTCTGCCCATGTTCCTCTTTGTGCAGCTGAAGATGCCATTCAGAGAAAAGATGTCACTTGCAGCCGTTTTTGGAATGGGTTTCATGTAGGTTCCCAAGTCCAACTCGCCCGCTGCCAATAATTCCCCCCGCATTGCTGACTTGTGTTATCGCATAGCGTTTGCATTTCTGGCATGATCCGGATATACTACTACTATACCATTTTTTATCGCACCTACGATATTACCTGTACGACCTCCCTTTCGAATTCTCTCCCATTCAATCCCTTGTCTAACCCTTTTCTCTAGGGGTTGCTTATGAAGTATGGATATGGACTGTGGTTGAATGCAATCTTGGAATCATCTGTGCCTCCATCCCACCTCTCCGACCACTCTTCAAACGGTTCCTCCGAGGCACCTTGTACGGCAGCGGCTATCCTCAGAACAGCTACTCAAGCCGAAGTAAGAACACCACCAACCCAGGCGATCACTTCGAGCAGGATGCTCAGTCCTACCATCTCCGAAATACGCCGCGTCATACCAAATCCACCGAGTGGGACAAGGACAGCAATTCTAGCTCCATGCCACTGGAGCGCAATCCTCGAGACGGGATAATGAGGACGGATAACTTTGAGATAACGTATAACCATGGCCTGAGACCTCACGAGGCTCATGCGCCAGTCTGAAAAGATAAACATGAAGCATGGAAAAAGAAAAAAAAAAAAGAAAGACAGACGAACCAATCACCACCATCCACCAACCAGAATATTCCGCCCTTTTGTTTTTAGCGAATTTTCCCTCCTGTCAGAATTCTTATCTTCCATGCACTAATGTATTAACTAATGTACTGTACATGCACGACGATAAAAACTCTTGCATACCTTAAACTAATACTGCAGTCCTCTTGATGCAGGCATCAAATTGCATCAAACTTTTCTTGACACAAAGTGTTTAAGCACTCATGGGTCTAGAAATACCCTACATCACATCTCGGCCAGATAAGCAAAGAAAAGCATGGTTATGAAGATGGGGGGGGCCGCCGCTTTGCATCGCTCAATGGAGTCCGAGGGGAACGTCGAACCCCATCTGCCACGTTTTTTTTTTGAGTTTTGAAAAAAAGGCCAAATCCCAAAGAATGTCAATCGCACCACTAGTACTCCGTAAACCCGCCCACACATCCACATCACGCCATATTAGAGCTGATTCATGCAGAGGGACCCGGGCTCGAGAGCGGGCACGTTGGGAGAGGGCACCAATGATGCGGCAGTCACAGCTGTCGTGCAAATCTAAAACACAAATCTGAAGCTGTGACAGGTGCGTGTAGCGGGTTTAATTCTCCGACGAGAAGAAGTCAGAAAAGCCACCCAAGCAAAACAGCGGTGGCATCATGATCTGATTGGGCAGCAGAGGGGGACCACAGGGTCCCTTCAATGCCCACCTCCCGTATTTTTGACTTTTTGGACGGAGTAAGAGCGATTCTTTTTCTTTTTTGGCTTGTGTTTTTCTGGCGAGAATTCATCAGCAGGAGGCTACTTAAACTAGCGCAGTCGACTACCCCAGAATTTTAGCGCGGAGTTTGAGGTGACAGCCGGCGGAGAATGCTGGACGCACCACATGGCTGGCGAATAGTTTGTTTTTGCGTGATTCCTTGCGCCGATCTTTTTCGCTAGCGAAAAGGCAAAAACAGGGGTGCTTGGGTCAGGTTGTGAAGATTCTCGGGTGGAAGGGGGAATGAGAGCATCCTTTCCAACCGAAACATGATTTTAGTGTCTAACAGCCTCCTTGGTGCCCCGTGGGCTGTCTTTAAGAAGAACCGGGGGGACAAAGGGCTATGCTGATCCCGGGGTCTGCACAGGTATGGCGAGACGTTCTGGGCGGTCCATTTTCTTGGGGACGCGCGATGATCGTTGAGATGTGGAGAGAGTAGATTCGAGAGCAAGCTCACTATCAACGTACCGACTTCGACAGAAATAGCTCATGTCAAGACATGCAGCTCCAGTGCTTGTCCACAATCCCTGTGACCTGCCAATTAAGGCTGATCTGCAACATCTGCTCCATCAGCATCATTCCCAACATGCACTCGGGGCAGAGCCCGCTTCTGCGCTGCTTTGGGGCCGCGGTTTCTCTTATCGCCTTTCCCAGGTGGACCTTTTGCCTGGAGCATCCAATCCGGCGTTCTCTGGACCAAACTGCCTTTTTCCCACAGCACGCCTAAACCTCTCCTCAGCTCAACGGCAACATCAAAAAACTCTGTCCCTACGACTTTCCCGTGGCTATCACCGGTTTCCAACCCCTCACTTAGAATCACGCCGTTCTCACTAATCCAGAACGGACATCCTGCAGCTAAAGCTTTCTTTAAATCAATGTAGATTAATATTTGCGAGTCAGACCTCATTCCTGAGATCACCGAGCCGTCACCACCGCCACCACCACCGGCGGACCGGCCTTTCAACTTTGAAGGAATGACGACGTCTCCTCCATCACCAGTGGGTAGCACTTGAGACAGCGCCGGTCCGGTAGCAAAATGCATTTGATTCCTGCCCATGCACTTAAGACCTCCGGTCTCGAGTATTTTCGGCCACGCCGCGTGGTATGTCCCGTGCACCACCGTCGCCGGAAGGTTGTCATCCTCCAGAGAGAGCATTTTGAGGAGAGACGAAGCCTCGATGGATTTGATGCTGTGGCCTTGTCTGGCTCGAATGAGGTAGTGCGAAGGATCGGTGTCGTCGGCGCTGGCGGCGAGGGCTTGCGCCGTCGCATCTTCGTTAGCCCCGGGGTCTTTGGACGCGTTCTCCTCGGCCGATTGTAGCGCGGCGTCCTGAGTCAGGGAATCATGGCTGTGCGAGCTCGAGGTCGAAGGGACGTAGAGAAGTCCGAATCGTTGCTTATCCGATGATGACACGGCCTCGATGATATCGGGGAATGTCACTTTAAGCGATTTCAGCTTTCTCCATAGCAGCTAGACTCAATCCCAACGGAAAACGAAATTTTCCCACTTTGTTAGCCCCCCGGCCAGGTCAAAACAATTATTGTAAAAAAAAAAAAAAAGGAAAAAACAAAGCAGCTGTACGGGTAAAGCGGATGAAAACACACCAGTTCGCCCACATTCGCATAACCTTGACTGTCGATTTTCACACCTTCTCGCTCCGCCGCGTGGCGCAGGACGTAGCTCAGCGCTTTTGAAACCGCTACCGCGCGCGATGGCTCCTTTCTCTCTCCTCTGCCCGCCGTCCTCGCCATCCGAAGAGCTCCTCGAGAGGCTTTGAGTAATCTCTGCAATGCCGTTCGTATCGGATGTCGCGGGAGTGCCCAGTCGCTTCGTTCGGTTCGCGGAGGTGGAGCGGCCGCCCCCGTCGATCCCGTACTGCTGGAGGTATGATGTAAGTGAAACAAGAGCTTGGGTGGGCAATGAAGTTGCTATTTCAGTGTCAGCTTGAGTGGGGAAGCTGTCAGTTGGCGGCTTCAGATCAAAAATGAGGTCAGTGCAAGCTCAAGGAAAAAAAATGTTGTCTCACCATCAATCCTGGCGGGAGTTGAATTTGTATTTGTTCTTTTTGTAACCAACTAGTTCCTCTCCTTTGCTTGGGTGAGGGCGAGCCAGTGCACACATACCGCCCTCACTACCGGAGTTAAACTACGTACGAAGTCCGGATTAAATTGCTTTCTACGAGTCATAATACTCAGAGGAAGCAGTTTCTTATCCACATAGAACAGTGTGACATACATGCAATCGCCCCCGCTGCAAACAAAGCAACCGAGAGCTGATGTGGTGAAAGACGTTACATTGCCAACACCCATCACCTTGTGTGTCCCATAGAGGGACAAGGGTATCATTCCCACAGAATCAGACGCCATTCTCGAAAGACTACTAGCCGGGTAACCACAATCATCTATCCCTCGCAAATACATCCACATTCAGAAACCGGGCATGACTTGTGTCTGGAAAACCACACCTTCGCATGATCTGCATGGTATCCATGATTGCATTTGATACAAAACACCACAAATCTTTTTAGCATCTCTTCCGGGCGGTGCGCCTCTTCTCCTTTCTTTGAGTCATCTGCGATTGCCGCTCTGGACAGTGGATGCGGGGAACCGAGCCACAGAGAGCAGACTCCGCATCGCGGCATATGGCGACCGCATTTTGGACAGACTGTTCCGCCCATCTGTGCTGACCCGAGAGGATTGTTCGGCGTATGATGGGTACTCTCCGCACCTGCTAGCTGGTGATCTGGCCTTTCTTCTTGCTGCGAAAGGGGCCGAGTACAGTAATTACAGACCAAGCTGACCTGCTGAGGTTGTGACCTCGTGAGCTTGCGACCGTCCCATGATACTGCCAAATTGCGTGAATCGACGTCAAATTTGGCTCGATGGAGATGCATCTTCCACGAATTCATTTGTTGCCGATACGTTTCGCGCCAGGCATGGAATCGATTCGCATTGAAAGCGTCGGAAACTAGCCGTGGAACGGCGTAATTCATAACCAGGACAGCTGTTTGTATATCATTGAATTTGTTGATATACGATTGGAACAAATCCATCGCAGCGTGATCAAGGCCCGTAAGCACCGCGCCCTCAATATCACCTTGCTGCACGGCCTCCATGGATGTGTCCCTGATGTAAGTTGTAAGTTGGTCGTCCGGAAGCCAACGAACGGCCACTTCTACTCGATATCTGAGGGGAAGCGTCGTTTCCCGGAGCACGGACTCCCAGCTGCCTTTGCTTACCAGCGCAAGTATAGCCTTGGCAAAGGGGTCAGTGAGCTCTTTTGCGATCTCAGCACAAGCTTCTTCCCAATCGAAATTAGGGTCACCCCTCGGCGCCCCAGCGATTGCCATGGCTAAAAGTTTGTGGGCCTGAGTTGGTCGGTTGTTACGTAGGGCCTTGTAAGCCAACTCCGTTTCGTCGTGGAATAATGCAAATGCAGCAGCTTGCGTATGTTGGCGTTCCTCGACAAGCTGAGTAACAACACCCTCAAGATCATCTACTGACGCTATGGCGCCGCAGATATACAAGCAGAGCTGGCGCTGTGGCATAAAATCTGTATCGCACATTTTGGTTTCTTGCAAATTTAACTTCTTGGCCAATTGCTCAATAAGCTTAGGTACGTCAACGTCGTCGTCTAAATCGGAGCTAGCAAGTCGATTCTCGAGACTGAGACCTATATTGTATTAGCTACCACCGTTGACAGATGAAAAGAAAGTAAGACCCACCAAGATTTCCACTCCAGATACTTTGAACACCCAAGTAGTTCATGTCCACCCCGTGAATAATCATCGACCCGTCAGATGCTCGTGTATGGGCGCCTATTCAACATGTACACATTTAGAAAACATATCAAAAGAGAGTGGACGACGACCAGCTTACGCTCAATCCAGGCCCAAAGGTCCTGTAAGGCTGTGTCATCAGACACTATATTCTGATTTCTCTCAGGATTAAGTGTATATCCTTCTCGAAGACGTAATCGTGGGATTGTCATCAAGGTCAAGGCATCTTGGACGTTGGCCAACTTTTCAGGAAGCAGTAACTTCTCTCGACGCTGTCTGCTCGATATTATTCCAGTACCGCCCGAGTCCTTCCCACCGTCTTCTCCTGCCTTGCCATTGGCTTCCTTTCCTTCCATGGTACTCTCCATTTTTTTAGATGCACGATCTTGGATTTCTTGGGTGGCCTGCGCTGCCTTCGATCCTTGGGCTGGAGCGAAGACCCTAAAGTCCTGTCCATGTGCAAACCCTCCTCGCACTAGGGCTCCTTGTGGTGACAAGCTGACCCGACCACAAACCAGGGGGAGGCTGTAAACTGCGACGTTCCTGTCGTTCAAAATAGTAATAGCTTCCAGCCCATCGAACGGATCCGTGGTCATGAAATCGAAAGCGCTAACGCGCTGTGAAGAATCCTCGCTTCGAGTTTTCGGTGGAAAGCTAGTTTGAAAGTCGCGCACAGTCTTTGTGTATAACTGTTCAGGGTAGTGCTTACTGGATCCACGGCCAACTGTCTTTTCTAGGGCTGCTCGGAGTTCGTCCGGAGAGTGGTCCTTTGCGATGTGGTAAGCTCTGAATATTCCCCTGTCCGTCAACATGCCCAAGCGGCCTCGCTGAGTTTGGGAAAATCGCAAACTCTGGATCGTAGACCCAGAAGCAATACCTGGCCTGATCTCCAACACATGGCCAGCGTCGATAGTGCCCGAAGAGGTGCCAGCTGCGGTTGAATATCGCGAGCCTGAACGCCGATCCCAAATGCAGATAGAGGCATTGTCAAATGGCGCACACGAGGCGAAGTAGTTCTCATCGAGCCGATTAACGGTCAGCTCATGGACACAACGGGTTGAGAACTGCAATGATGGGTTTCCGTGGCTCTCTAGAAATCATGTTAGAGTCCACTATGGCCAGAAACAACTACGTTCGCAAGTAAAGGATCTCATACCCCGGAGATCATACAGCCGCACGGAATGCCCCTTCATACCGGCAATCAAAAGACTTGGCTGGTCATTAAAAAACCTCACGCTGGCCACCGGCTCCCCGTTTGCATATCTTCTCAACGGATCTGGGACCTGACGCTCCGAGCCACCGCGCGACGCCATCCGCACTGGTCGCTGGTGGGGATCCCAGATGTTGAGGCAATAGTCGCCCCTAAACTTGTCTAGTCCGGCAGCCAGTAGGCCACTGGAATTCCAAGCAAGCCCATGACAGGCTCGTTGGACCTTGGAAGGAAGTGCGAGCGGGATGAGAGCGCCGGTGTCTAGATGAGCGACAACCACGTCTCCTGACGCATGCCCAACCGCAACCAAGTTTTCCTCGGTGGGACACCAGTCAAAGGAGCGGAACTCTGAGCCATGAGAGAAGGCAGAGAGGACATCATAGGTCAATGTAAACTTATCAGGTCGTGAAGTGACTTTGCAGTGTTTGAACTCCTGTCCCTTGATGTCGACGTAGAGGAAGCGCTGATCATCAGGTGTAGAGGCGGGAGCCCACCGAATGGCGGTCTCCATTTTTCTCAAAGATAAAAGGTCAAGATCAATCTAAAGCAATGGCCATTGTGGCGAGCAAGGTAAAAAGGCTTGAAAGGAGCTATCTTCATGATAAAGAGGAGAGCGGTCTGGACAGTGCTCGTGCTCTCTCGCTCTCTCTCTCTCTCTCTCTCTCTCTCTCTCGCGCGCGCGCTGATATGCTGGAACGAGGTTCAGTAAATACCAATAGAACCACACGAATTCAGGGGAAGCTGCGTAGCGAGATAGCCATCTGACTTCTCGGGGATCTAGGTGATCATCGACAGAGATTCCATCTACCAGCACAACCCTCCCGACCATGCAAGCGTTATCACCAGGAGGCCGCTGACATTCGTCGAGTTGCTGGTATTTCGCATCTGCGGCTGGCGGTTCGTTCCAGAGAGCGCAATTCCCGGGCCGACTGTTGTTCCGCCGCCTCCGTGACTCGCTCCCGCTCAACGCAAGAATTCCCGTCGCAGCTTTTTCCGATTTTGCTCAACGGCAGACTGGCTTGCGAGGTAAACAGCAGACATCCATTGAGTGATCCCGGGCAGCCTTACACTCCGCATGCAGTGGCTATGCCATGACCTGTGCTTCGACCCTTGCATTCACTTCTAGCCCTCATCTCTTGCCGCATTGGCCACTGTTTGAAGCTTATAGTCACATATCCCCAGCTGCCGAATCTGCACAATGTCTCTGCACGAGCCCGAAGCCCAACCTTCTCTCAAAAAGCGGCGACGCGATTCCTTCTCCAACGCTGACCCCAAGCGCGTAAAGCGCCTGCACTCGGGCGCCCAGCGACCGCACTATCACGACATCGGACCGAGCGTAAACGAGCTAAAAACTAGAATCCGGGATGTAAAGCGCCTCCTTGCTAAGAGAATCGACGATCTCCCCGCAGATGTTCGGGTTGCGAAAGAGAGAGAGTTGGCAGAATGTCAACGGGATCTAGAAAAGGCCGAGGTGAAGAAGCAGCGGTCAAAGATGATCCAGAAGTATCACTTTGTGAGATTTCTAGGTACGCTACTCGTTGCTTGACGACCAGCTCGCTAGCCCTTTTCCCTTTCCTCACCCCTAGATAAGTCGATTGCTGACGGAGTCGAGTGTCTAGAGCGCAAACGGGCAACTAAAGAGCTCAAGCGTCTTAAGGCACAGTTACACAAACTCGAAAACGATGACAGACTCGACCCCAATGCCCGAGAAAATAGCATTGAAACCCTTAATAGGAAGATAAGCGCCTCCGAGATCGATCTCAATTACACCATCTACTCTCCCCTCACGGAGAAGTACATATCCCTGTACCCCAACGAACGCCGGAAACAACAGCCAATGGAGCCGGAGGAATCAAACGTCATCCGCACGAATTCTGGAGAGAAGCCCCCCTTGTGGTATACAGTCAAGCAGAGCATGGCAGACGGAACGCTCGAGCTATTGCGAGATGGAAAACTGGGAATTGGGTTGTCGGGTGAAACGAAAGATTCGAACAATGCTGATGTATCGTTGAAGAGCAACACAGTGAGTTTACTCGTGCATAGGAAGCAGAAGAAGCCAAAATCCAAGATAAAAGTCGACGGCGATGAGGATGCGAAAAGAAGCTCCGCTAGGTCAGTGCAAGAGGGAACCAGAAACGAGAATAAGAGAACGTCAAAAGAGGATGTGCAAGGAGAGGATGACGACGTTGAGAGTGAGAGTGACGGCGGTTTCTTCGAATGATCGTGAAAAAGCGAAAGTAAATGCAACCAGAAACTACCCTGGCGGGGTGATAGGGGTGAGAGAATTGTCTGCTCATCGGGACCTTGCTTTCGGCATTTAAAGCAAGTGGATTGAGATGTGAATGTGGCCAGTACCAATGTGGTCCATATCTACCAACAGCTTTGGCCAAAATCTTCGAGGGTTGCTAGGATGTCCCCCAGAGCTTCAGTTTCGTCGAGAGAAACTTTCCCGCAGGCTTCAATTCCTTCTACATATTTACCTTCTATATATATATATACAGTAGACCAGCTAATCAGCTAATCAGCTCCCCAAAGGTCCAGTTCCAAATGCAATGAGAAGGTAGGACAACGTTGCACTAGAGAGGAACAGGAAAAACAAGAAAAGAAAAAGAAGGATACGTAGTTATTGAAAATGTTTTGAGATACAACCATCCAGCTTCATAGCAGAAAAAAGCATGCATAAATATTCAAAGAAGCGTATGCCTGTTCAACGACCTTTTAAGAAACGCCAGTTCTTCTGCTCTGTACGGAGTATACTACCCCTTTACTTAACTAATCGACGCCAAGCGGACCCGATCCCGTTCCCTCATATCTCCTAGCTTTCTATGTATACTCCAGCTGTCGAGACAAAATGTTTTATTTAGAAACCCTGCATATATCAACTCCAGCATTTCGAGAAAGGCTGGTGTGTGAAGACCCTGACGGGCGATCAAAATGGACATGCTCTATAGGGCCATCTCCACGGCCTCTCGAATCAATCGTTCCAGCCATACTCCGATCGTATTTTACATGACAACACAGCCTCCACTCCGTGCCCGTCTTCTGCGATTGCCGAGCGAAACTAGCCCGCCAGGTCCATACCCGTAATCAGCGTCGTCGTCGTCATCCAGGTTGTACATCATTTCAGCATTTCTCGCTCTCCGTCGCCTTCGTCTGGCACCAATCCCGCCGGCCTCAGCTTCTTCGTTGGTCATCATGCAATCGGTCCACCTGCGCTCAAGTCTCATTGCTGCCCCGAGGTTGCCGTTCAACACGCGTTTCGTATGGATGTCTACCGTCGTTTGCCAGCCATAGAAACACTTTAGCTGAATAATTTCATTGGGATATAAATCCGCTTTGCACTGCGTTGTCTCTGGAGGTGGCGAAGGGAGAATAGTCACAGAGGTCGTGGATGACGATGGCGACGACGATCCGGATCCAGATTCTTCTTCTTCTGCTCTGGAGGCCAGGACCGCGGCTTCCGCATATCGCGGCACGAACGTATTGTTGGAGAGAATTTCTCTGATCCCTGCCCAAGTAACGTTACCGCAGTCGAATACGGCCACCCTTAATCCGCATCTGGGTGGCTGCATGCCAAAACCACGTTTGCGCATCTGAGAGCAAAGCTCTATCAGTGTCAGATCAGAAACTCGCGTATTATCGAGATCCAGAGATTTTAAATTTGGACAATTTTTCACGATTTGCATCATTCCTGTGTCGCCAAGTTTTTCACAATAGCTAATGTTGAGATGTTCGAGCCTGGCGGCGCAGGGGGCTTTCGATAACGCAAGCAGGACATTATTGGTGAGTTCTTCCAGCTCTTCAAGGTCCAATCGTGTTAAATTCGGCGTTGTACCGATGAGGTTTATGATAGAATCATTCCCCAGAGCAGGACAGAATGATAGCTGCAAGCTTTCTAGCTCAGGAACAAAGCCTGCGAGATGTCCGATTCCGAAATCACTCACTCCTTGACAGTGAGATAAATTCAGATGTTTCAATTTTCGAGGTGGAGCAATAGGCCTGCCTGTTAGGATGTCTATCTCTGGGTTTTTACCGTGCAAAAGGGCTTTTAGAGCGCTGTCGGTAAGGGAGGAGCAGTGAGACATGACGAGTGTTTCTAGGGTATTTGTCTGAAATAGCTCCAACATAAACTCCTCGTCATCAACGGCTCGAAATTCATCAATGCGTAGCTCTTTTAGTCGATGACAGGCCCTGACAACGCGCCTCAATCCGTTCGCATTGATGAGATTGCGGCACCACGATATGTCGAGATACTCCAAGAGTGGACAGCTCTTGGAGATGACGTTCATCTCGGAATTTGTCACCGTTGCAAGTCCAGTCATGCTGATACGAACCAGCTTAGGATTTCGAACGAGAAAGTAGGTGATGGTTGGCTTGTCGATATGGGTACCTTCCAAATTAACGCTGACCAAATTCCGACAAGCATCGGCTATTTGCTCTCCACATTGAAACCAGGCTTCCGCCATTTGAATGCATCCTCGGAGATTGAGATGTTTTATGAAAGGTCCGGCGGAAAATATCAGTCTTACCAATGCATCCCGTGGAATATCACTGTAGTACGTGGAGGTATCAAATTTCGCCCATAACTGACCATCAAAACAAAGCTGACGCCATGATCTCGACACACAGGCTACTTTACCCAATTCTTTAGGCATAAGCCAGCTAAGGATTCGCAGTTGTATTTCCACGGGCAAGTAATCCCAGTAATTCTTGTTCTGCATTTTGAGTAATTTCTCGCCCTTGGTGTCGGGGGTATTTTCACCATCCTCAAGTACAGCCACCGCAGACCTAAGTAGCGATCCTCTGGAGCAAGGCCGCATCTCAGCGGGTAGCGGGATGGTGGTCTGCTGGGAACCATTTGCAGAAATAAGTTCCGTCTCCACAACCCGAATAGGGCCAGTATCATCACCATGCGGCTTACCGGAGAACTTCCCGTAGAATTGGGAAGAGCTGGAGCTCTCCCAACACTGCCCATGTGACAAGGTCGATGAAAGCGAGATGCATGACATCGATCCTTTGCCAAGTCGGCGGACACCGGTGGAAGAAGAACGGCTTCTGCCAGTTTGTTCGAGAGAAGGGCTTGATGTCATACGCTGAAGGCGATTCAACAATCTTCGGCGACCTTTCAGTTTGGGAGGGCTATCCGGCCTGGCAGCCCCGGACTCTGCAGCCGGAAGCGCCGCTGAGGTAGCTAGGATTTCATCGTGTGGGATTGAAGCCATTGTGGATTCTTTTCGGCAAGGGTAATGAGTACGGCTTCGATACCCTGCTGAAGGCTAGTTAACTATCGCACTGGGGGTGCTGTCATCGACCAGCGACGGGTTTGCGTTGCGGAAGTTTACGAGGCTAGGGAAACGACAGCGGATGATAACTGGGAACGTCTTAAGAGAAAATGGCCAAGATGGGAGAAGTTGATGAATCAATCAGCTGTCCATATCCCAGACAAAGCGAAGCGAATGTGCAGAGCGAAAACCGAGACCGGACTGGGTTAAAAACAAGCATGCCGTCAGCCCATCCTCCAAGTTGTAGCACCCATGGTTCACGATTGGCTTAAGGCAGTCAAACTCACTTCAAGGCCAGTATGTATGTACACATCCACAAGACGAGAAGGTCAGTAAGGTGAAAGGCGCAAAAGGGAAGGGGGGAAAAAGAAGAAAAAAAAAAGAAAAAGAAAAAAAACGATCACAGATCTTTAGAATCGAAGTGGACAGGGTCAATAGGATGTCATTGAAGAAGAGTGGTGGACTGCGATCGTCGTCTCGCTGCTCATCCTCACATCAGGTGGCCACCTGGGGAGAGAGAAGCAGCACCAAAAGGGTCGAGTGATCGAGGATGAGGAATTGTTAAACTGACTGTCGTCTTGCGTCGATGCCAGTCATGTGGGCGTCAAGTTCCTCATCGCCCTGGATTGCTGGAGCGGTGGGGGAGAGAGAGGGAGGGAGTCAAGAGACGTCCTGGCGAGCGCTGGGAGGAGCAGCTGGAGTTGTGCGCCGGAAAAAGGTGACGAACCAGCACAAGGTCCATGTCCGGTCCGGGACGAGTACTTCCCTGGTACATCTGAGCCGCGTTATCCACCGTGCTGTGCTTCGGCCCGGGATGTTTGTTCTGCGGATACTTTTGGCCCGGATTGTCTTACTTCCAGGAATAACCTCTTCCTGCAGCTATTTCCTGGGCTTGGGCCGTGTTGACTGAGTCTAGCCAGGCTGTTTCTCCCGTTTTAACAGTGGACAGTCTCAGCGCACGGGGCCGTTTGCTTGGGCTTTCAGTATCAAACACACCGCGCGCGATGAGGTCACCAGCAGGTACCTGTGGCTTTTCCCCTCTTTCGGCCTCCTTATCGGTCGGCTGACTCAGCGATAAGACCAACACGGACCCACAGTCCCCGCCTGGCTTGATTAGGCATAGCGCCCCTCTGGCCGGCTTGCAGAAGGGAAAAAATCTGTTTCAACCCGCAACAAGCAAGCAAGACACATTGCATCTGATGACCAGCACCATCATCATACAAAAGCGCTGCTTCTTTTTCACTTTCCCTTCTTACTATTCTCTGGTGTATGCATATTGCTTTTTGTCGGCTTCGAACTATCAAAGTCTAACGGATGCGTACGTTCATACTTCCTACCCGCTCCTTTCCGACACCGGCCAAAGGTGGTGGCGAACTCACCCTCCTCTGAAACGGAGTTTCCAGACTCTGGACCTGTAAGAAGAGAGTGGCCGTGGTTGCCACGTTGCACACTTGGAGGAATTAAAATAATAAAGAAGCAGAAGAAGACTACAGAAGGCAAATGGAAACCGGGTCAATACCGGAACTCGCCAGCGAAGGTGGTGCAGAGAACTGTCCGCAGAAGATGTAAACATATATGCGTACATGTCATGACGTCCTCAACTTACTAGAACTTGGGGTTTGGATGCACTTCCGGCCAAAAAAAAACTCGCCGTTTGAGACATTTATTTCCAACTTTTCTTTCCCCCGTCCCTTCCCAAGATTGCTGTGGGTAGTTGGGCTCCTAGACTGGACTGGCTTCGGGCCCATGTTCTTGTGACCCCAGTGTGCCTTCTGGTGCCAAGTGATCGTGCAGTCTGACTTCTACATGTGAGCCCCCTAATCGACATCCTTGACCGCGAAGATTATGGGTAAGCAAAACCCAGAGATGTTCACATACATGGATAGCAAAGCCAGAAGATGGTCAGTGCTTTTCCATCCATGAGCCAAGTTGGATGCTGGAGATTAGATTCAAGATATGTAATGGAATCAATAATTCTATATAATGCTGCTTCTAAAAAAAAAAAAAAGAAAATGAGACCAGGGATATTCATGTAAAGAGAGTGACCTGGCGCAATATTTCATAAGATGGTAGGGAAAAAATGGGATACTTATAATATCCAAAACTGCCCATTATCCTTGATAGAAAACAGCGAATGATCATAGAAAATGTATCGCATACAATCAAAGGGTATCATCATCCAGCAATTTGCCATTTAATCTTTGATCAAGTTGCCTCCATGCAATCCATTCCACCTCGCGAGGTGCATCCTGCTTCACCCCGTGTTGTTGTGGGACAATATATATCCCTCAACCCCTTCCATCCTTTTCGTCTTTTCACACTCACATTTTTATCGGCCTGTTCAATTCCCCAAATATTCCCAAAAAAAAAAAAAAGAAAAAAGAAAAAAGAAACAAGGCAAAATGCAATCATGGTATACATGTTAACTCCCAGCCACCATGATCACAAACATTACTAGACCATAGTACGTCTTCCGTTCGTTGGCTGTTGTTTTCCTTTTTCGTTGTCGATTGAGCGACTTTGTTTTGTGAGTCCTTAGCTCGTCCATTCATGTAGTACACCTCGCGGTTAGGCGAGGAGTTTCATGCTGAATTCAAAACGATTGTCCCACATTGTTCCATTTATAATCTTCCAATGCGAATAGCGCCGCCCAGCGGGCTACTCTGTAGATACCACGTATCCGTTCTGCCTACCACAGGCAGATTCGGCCGGCCAAGAAATATATAATCATCGTACTGCCAAAAATAATGTCAAATGCCGCCGAACCGCTCAAGGGCCAAAAAAGGGGTGGTGCGGGAAAGGGATCTATTGAACCTAAAGGTAGAATTCCGGAGGGTATAATCGCCAAAGCTGCTAAATTCAAAGAGCGGTTATCTAAACTTTAGCCACGGCCCGGGTTGTTCGTCGTTGCGTTCATCCATTGATGCTCCATGACCTGAGTGATGGTCAACCGCTCATCCACATTGCGATTAAGCATGCCGCGGATCAGATCAATGCAATCGTCTGTAAATGGTAAGAAAGGAATGCGTAGAGGGTGGTCCATGATTTCGTTGACATTGTAGAACGGGTTCTCTTTGTAAATAATCGTATATAAAAGAATTCCCAACGCCCATACATCTTGCTCTTTTCCACGGTATGATCTGCCTTGAAGGACTTCGGGTGCTGCGTAATCTAGTACACTGTAAGCCACCATCATATTTTGTTGCTGGCCGGTTAGCAGAGGGAAACACTCACCTATCGTGCCGACAAAAACATCAAAAGGACCATTCTTGATATACGCTGCGCTTCCAAAATCAATCAATTTAACCTGCCTCTCACCATCCAGGACAACATTCTCATCCTTGATATCACGATGTACCACGAAAGCTTTAGTGTGAAGGTGGTGAACCGCACTGACAACCTGAGAGAAAATATTCCGGCATTCAGCTTCATCCATATGTGTCCGCAACTCAACATAATCGAACAAATCCATGCCTGGAAAGCCATGTGGAGTCATTTCAATATAGTAATTGATATCATCCTCAAAGAAGCCCTCCATTTCCACAATATTCGGATGCTTCCTGTCATCACGACGGAGATAGTCAAGAACATGTATTTCCAGTGGGACAGTGCCCAGACGACGGTCTCGCGTCCACGTATCTACCAGGATTCGTTTCTTCGTGACATATTTCAGGACCATCTTTTTTGGTGGGTTCCACTTGCACCGAGCCAGCTTCACTTGCCCGTAAGCACCTGATCCGAGGTCCTCAAGAATAGCGTAGTCCGATATTGTTCTTTTCTTCGGAGGTTCAACTCTTAAGGAAGATAGTTTCATCTCAGGAACAGGCTGTGGGGGTTTATCGGTAAGCGGCTGAGATGCCGCCTCACTCAACTGCTGGGCCAAAAGAGACACCTGCGGTCTGCTGGATTTAGGTGGAGTCTCGAGCATCGGTGATACTGCAGGAGACATCTGTCTAGGAGGGGGCTGACGCGGAGGTGATCCGGGGGGCGGCACCAGTGGGTTTACGGGTGGCAGTTCAACCCCATTTGTGGAATGGAATTGCCGAGAATAAGTTATCCATAAGGCGTAGACGAGCTCAGTTATGGCAAAGCAAGCTTCGTTTTCCTGGTAAGAATCTCGATCTTCATGAATGATAGCGTGCTGGTTACGGAAGGTTGACTGGCTTTTCACCACTCGCATCTGAACATCCACCATGATCTCTGCACCATCCCGGTGTCGCGCAGGGAGCCCGGTGGGTCGCAAGAATAAGGAGGCTGCGTCGGCCTTACCATTACGAAGGATGGATAACGCGCGGGCTCTTCGGAAGCTATGCTCTGGGATAACCATCCCATCAACCAGTAGGATATTATCGTGTTCGGTTAAAGCATCAAGGAATTGATCGAAATCAGGAACCAAATCTGTAATATTCACTCCTTCAAGTGAGTTATGCCCAAACAGCGAAGAGGCAAAGACTGGATTTGCACTGATAACATTCAAAGTCTCTGGTGATAGAACCAGCATTCCTGCAATATGAGGGAAACTAGATATGCGAAGAGTGTGAGTGTCAGGAATGGCCGTCACTGTTGTCGGGATAGATGCCCCAGATGACGTTAACGCGGTCCAGTACTTTAGCTCATTTGATTTGGAGTAATCCGGGCTTTCAGAATCAGGAGAGATGGTAGGAATGTGAGGCAGAAGTTCGAGAAGGGGTGTCCCTGGTTCAATGGCTTTGCGACCCCAGATATTGTTTACATCGCCCTTGACATCGACAATCTGACCCTTCTCGTTACACCGAAGATGTACCACGTGCTCTGGTATCTCCTCAACTACCCATATTAGACCACCTTTCTTCTCCATTACCCACAAGCTGGCAGAGCCCGTTTGACCGTTGCGCTTCTGAATTGGAACGACGTCTCCACAGATTAGCACGCCACGCGATTTGCTTGGAGTATGGTTAGGGCTCCTTGTGCGTCTAGTTGAACCATGGCTAGACTGAGTGTCATTGCGGTTTTTTGACCTGGTCAGCCGTGCGGGAGGCTTGCTTAGCAGCTGCGCTGTCACGCCGTTACCAAGATTTAAACATCGTGAGCTATGCCCACTTGGCCTAGCAGTCCTCGTGCTAGGCGACTCGGTGCTAGCATAGACGCTTGTGCTTTTGAGCTTCGACTCAAGCCACTCGCGTCTCTCTTCCTGCACAAGATTCAGGATGCTCAATGTCCGAAATTCTCTTCGAGTAATTCCAAAAACCAGGCACGCTAAGTCATTGGCAGCGAGAATGGTCCAACGTGGCTTGGCCTCCGTTCTAAACACAGCCTGGGCTGCAGGCGACCACTTGTTGCTGTGGGAATGAACAGCAGGGGCATTGGCTCCAAGGGCAAAGGAAGTCGTGCTCCTAGGAGAGATGAGATCCATTGTTGAGTAGGGTTGCGCAGACAATGCGTCCATGAGCTTGTTCTGGAGCGAAGCTGAACCAATATCTGTATACGTCCGTTTTAGGCTTACCCTTCTCGACGCTGGTGCGGATTTAAGCCCTCTTGTTAGGGTTGCTGTCTGAGTTTCCTTCACAGACAGAAGTTCCTCACGACTGGCGGTTTGTTGCGGGGACTCTTGGATGGACTCACCCTGATCCTCGATCGTTTGGAGTGACTCGCTTGCGAAGGCTTTCTCAAATACGTTCTCGCCATGGAAAGCAGGAG